TTAAACCAACAAATATACAAACAAATATGGATTCCATACTGTATTTAACATTCTGCACAGTCTTAAACTACACTTTCTACTAATTTAACTCATAGTTATTCTTCTAGTTTACCTTCACCTTTTACTTTAATACTACAAATTATTACTAAAATTGATCTTTGAACTATCTAATAGATTAAATACTATACCTTTCTTTCTTATATTGTTATAGGATTATAGCCTTTTTGGTACAATACAACCAAGTAACAAGGTCACCCAGTACAGTGATTGACTATTGCAAATATATACAGGATGGAGGTGTAGTAGTTCACTTTACTACACAGCAGCAGGCAAATAGTTTGAGATAGTAACAGTATATAGATTAACTTTTATTAAATAAACATATAGTGACAACCTTGCCTATAGGAATTATTTTAGAAGGAGAATATCATTTTTACAAGTTAAGAATAAAAGTAGAAAGGTCTAGGTTAAAGTATAAAAACTTAGAATTGGCAAAAAAGGGTGAAAGCTACCCTTTATATATCTTTTTATTTAATGGAAATAGTAGAGATTCGAGCAACATTACTTGATACTGTACTCAAGATAATAAGAGTTCAAATAACATTAGATATTATTATACTTAGAATAGTAGAAACTGTGCAGAAGCAACTAGAAATATTGTTTATGTTATAAATCATTCATGTTTGAAACTCTTGGAGCTTGTGTTTAGGCACTTGAATCTGTACAAAGGTGCTTAGAATTTGTGCAGAAATATTTAGAATTTGTACAAGAACATTTGGGATTCATATCAGAGATACTTGGAATTCTTATACTATAGTACTTGGTATAGTAATTTGGTGTTAGGATACATAAAACTTGTACAGAGGTACTTGGAGTTTGTAAGATAATAGTAACATTACAGATGTTACTCATATGTTATGTGATTGTATCATATTTCTAATAGCCAATTAAGATCCTTTTATCTATCTACTATATAATATAACTATCAATTATTAATAACTAATAATAAATATAATATAAAATACAATAATGAATATATATATACTACTAATATTACTTTATAATATACTATGCTAAAATCTACTTTGTAACAATATTATTACTTAAACCCAAATCTAGGTAAGTCTTAGTCATTCTTGTAGATTTAGGTTACAGATTATATATCTGAGTCTTTATTCTTCATATGTAATGTAAAAGCAAACTTTTCTTTGTAAAAACTTCAGTTAAATTTCAATAAAGTTAAAGGCATAGCCTTATTATTAATATTTAAAAAATAATAATAATAATAATATTTGCAATAACTTGATTAATATTAATAGTTTCTTGATTTGTATTGAAATCAGATATTATAACATTATTATCAAGATTTGTTAAGAAATTAGATAGTGTTTTGTTAGTTTTTTTAAGTTGTGTTGTGAGAAATAGTTTTGATGCATTTTTTGTAGTAGTTTTATTAGATTTAAGTTTAAAAAGTTTGTATTAATTTTAGAAGTTTGAAATTAAATTTTAAATTTGAAGAATAAAGGTTTTTCTACTTTTGAATAAAAATATTTTTTATAAGCTTTTCTGATATAAGATATAGATAGTTTATTAAGAGATTTAGATATATAGAAGTAGGTAATTACTCTAGTTAAGAAGTAAGTATCTATTGATTTTAATATAATTTTATTAATTGCTTAGTAAAAATAAAAGTTGTCTACTTGATTATTAATAACAGCTGCTTTAAGATATGCATTAAAATAATTATAAAAGTAGTAACTTTTATAGATAACATTATAATGCTCTAATTTGTTAAGTTTGTTACATTTTAAAAAATTTATTTTAGTTTTAACTATAAGTTGTTAAAGATAAATAACTAGTGTTAAGTTTTGAAAAGTTGCTAAAAATTTATTATCATATCTAAATACTAAAATATTTAATATTAAATATAATCATTTAGTTTTAGAACTTGAACTTGAATCAGAATTTGTAAGTGCAAAATAGTATTTAAAGAATTTTTTAAAAAAATAGCTAAGAAGTTTTTGATGTTGTGTTCAGTGCTATTAGATAATATAGTACAGTTTTCTATAATATATATATAGATATAATAAAATGCTGCTTTAGAGCAAATTTAAGAATATTATATAATGAATTGATAAAAATAATAGTGAATTGTTATGATAAAAAAACTTTACAAGTATTAGAAAGTTTAAGAGCAATTTGATATTTAATAAAGTTAAAAGTTTTTTGTTTGTTAATTTGAATAAATTAATATTTGTAAGTGTTAAAAAGAATATCAAACCATGTTTTAAATTGTATTAAATAATTTTTAAGATAAGAAATCTGAAATGTTTGAAGAAATTGTTATTTTGGAAAGTTAAGAAAGATATTAATATTAAATTTATTATTATTTTGAATTTTAAAAAAAGATTAGTTAATACTATCTTTTACTAATATAATAGTAAAGTTTAAAATATATTAAGTAAAGTTTGAAGTCTTTATAAAATTTTTTTGTATTAATAGTTTTATATTTGTTATAAAAAATAAGATGAAAAGTGTTAAGTTTAATGCAACTTGCATTTTATTTAAAGTAATATAAACTAAAATTGAGTTATAAGAAATAAAGATTTTGGAATAGTTGAAATAAATAATGAAAATAGTAGTAATTTTTTGAATAATATGATAAAAGTAAAATGAATAAGTTCAAAAAAAAATAGAAAAAAATTAGTTTATAAAAAGATTATTTTTATAAATAAAAATTTATAAAAAATTTAAAGTATTGTCTAGCTTAGAGGTAGTAGATGAATCTGGATTTATATTTATATCTGGATTAATTCAGATTTTAAACATATCCAGATTCAATTTTTTGAGCCAAATATATCTGATTGTAATATAATTTGGATTACATATTATATCTGGATATAAATATATATCTGGATATATAAGTGTATATCTAAATATAAATATATATCCAGATATAAGTGTATATTCAGATATAAATATGTATCCAGATTAGAGTTAATATTTTACTATCACTATGTTTTACATATATAAAATAAATCCAGATTTAATTTACTCATAGGTGGACATTTGTTTGATTGGCTGATGTAAATTAATTGCCCAGGTAACTTATTTATACAGTTTAAAGGACTTTTTAAGAATGTAACATTTTGCTAACAAAAAATCATCTCTAACTTCGAAAGAACATCTATATTTATTGTGCAAAAATAATCAGTAAACCTAAGAACTTCATTTAGAGCTGAATATTAACTATATGTAAGCTCTAAATGCTGGAAATAGTCTACAAAAAAAAAGATTATGTAACGTCTAAACCTAAAGAGCTTTGTCTATACCATTTAATATACTATTACAACAAAAAAGCTTATACTAATGTTCTTATTTTACGTATTCTGAATATTATAGTTAAAACATTAGTAATTTCAGGTTTAGTAGATTGATAATATATATATGTAGGAATATTATTGTATCATTAAATACATATAATAAATAGAGAATAAAGATAGTTTCTCTAATAATTTATTTATTATTAACTTTAATGGGTTTGGGTTTTTAATAATAAATAATATATTTATTCCACTTTATGTGTATCTATCTGTTTTCTAATTTTATATGATACAATAAGTGTTCATTTGGCATGCTTTGTTGCAATAATTGAAAAAATTTTCATGCTATTTTATTTAAAACTGGAAAATGATGTTATTATAAAGAATATTAGTTTCTTTGCCATATTTATTAGTTTTATTCAATCTATATTCTTTAATTGTATAGTTAATTTAGTTTATATTCTTAACAAAAGCTATAACATTCTTTGTATATAATTATTGGCTTTTAAGTTTTTAAGTGAAGTTTTCTTTAGTATATACTTAAAAATTACAGAATTATGTAATTTGATTGGTTAATTATCATGGACATTTATAGGTAAATCGACAAAAATTAATCAATCATATTAATGTCTTTCTAATTTTTTGACAAAATATCTGGATTGAAGTATATTATCATTATTTTTTTTGAAGTATTTTAATGTTTTTGGTCGATCTCATTGCTATCATACTTTCGATTGATTACATTTTTAAATCAGAGGGATCGATATATTCAATTGCCTCATTTTAGTGCATTATTACTTTATTTCTATTCATTACACCTCTTACTAATCTATTACTTTATTTGCTTTAAAATCAATAATTACTCCTGATTACTACATTTTAGCATAATATTATGTCATTAGCATAACCACCTACTCTTTATTACTTCATAATAATATTAAGTAATTTGCACAAAAATCAAACAGATTTTAAATAAATAGTAAAATAAGTAAATTTTTTATAAAATTTAGAGAGATCTTCTTCAATTTTTATTGTTATTATTTCGAATTACAATAAGTATAAATCTAAATAAATGAGTTGTTATACCAACAAACTACATTAATGCGAATAATATGAATAAACCAAGTATATAGTAAATAGATGAACAATATTATTATTATCCAAGATCATTATTTGAATACACAAATTATATCTAAACAATGGTGTTATAAATTGATTTAATAATGAAGGATACTTTAAAGATATTGATAGAAGATGCTTGGTTCAAAATTATGTATGTAAAAACTGTTCGCATTTGTTATAGTTCCTAAAGATTGACACACAACTATTATAGTAAAAAACAAAGCTGTATAAAATCTAATCAATAATTATTTTTTCTTCTAATGCTGCTAAAATCTTTATTAAAGGCACAAAAAAAAAAAAAAACTATTTAACCTCTAAAAATGAGTAGTTTCTTTTTAAAAACAGCATCTTATCAACTAAATCTGGTGCAAGACGAGTTCTTCTTGCAGATATATAGGCACCTGCATTAGAAAATAAATGCTCAGAAGTGACTGAGGTTGCAGGAATAGATAAATATTTGCGAGCGAGCTGACAAAACAGAGGATAACTTGTATGTCTCTCTTTCCACCACATTAAAGGATCTTAACTCTTATGAGCAACTTGTTCTTTCAAATATCAAGTCAACTCATCTTCATTAACAGCTTGTAAAATTGGTACAGCAAATGAGCCCCACAATTCAGCACTTAAAGAATCATATTCTTTCTCTTCTGCAATAATAACAACCTTCGTATTATAATTGTTCTGATTAGATTGAACCTCTAATGCTAACAATTCTGCACGAAGTTGTGTCTTAGTATTTTTATGTTCATTATTAGTAGCAAATGGAAGTAATTTTAACACTCATGGATCCAACATAGAAGCTTTTAATTCTACTTCATCAGGAATGCCCCATAATTCATCAAAAGATAAGTAAATTGTGGTATGCAATTGTTTTAAAACTTCTTTACAGCTTGTAAGAAATAAATATTCTATAGTATTTGTATTATCTAATTCAGTAACATGTTTTGCTTTATGTTCTAACAATAACAATAAAATAATTATACTTTATTCAAGACATAAATATGTAATATACAGTACATGCACAAAAATATTTTAAATATCACATCTCTTATGCTTGCTACGCTTATAACCTTGACCTTGACCTCGATGATGCATACTTTTATGTGCATACTGCTATTGTTTCCTATTTCCAGCCAACAGTATGCTATTGTATCATTATTTGAACTTTCTAACAAGGATCCGTAAATCAAAGCTATTCAATCATTAACAGATTCATTATTTTCAACTACTGGCACATACTTATTTTTTAACATACGAACATAAGAGTATATAAGGTTCGTAGTAGGATATTTTGAGCCAGAAAAATGTCTTGTTATTTTCTCAAAAGGTTTTAAAAGATTAACCACTTCATTTATAAATCTTAATTACATATTATATTAAAAAAAAAGAACTATAATATGGTATAAAAATATTTAGAGACACTAATAAGATTAAATACTTTTTTTCTTCAGAAGTCAAACACAATTGGTCTAGTTTCTCTCCTTCTTTTCTTAATATAGCATCTGGCTTGCATTGTAATGATGCAGCTAGTGAATGTATTATTGGATGCAATTCTAATATTCTTCTCCAGGCTAAGTAAGCCGAATTTCAGTGAGTCTTACATTCAGTTAATATTTCAAGAGGACTAGTTGACTTATTATTATCATCAATGTCTTAAGATCCTACCAACATATTATTTATTTGTATTTCTTGTTATGCCTGCATTTTAGATGGTTGTGCCTGCATTTTTGGTGATTGTTGTTCTTGCATTTCCTGTAATCATTGTTTCTGCATTTTCTGTAATCATTGTTCCTGCATTTTCCATAGTTTTTATGTTTGCATTTTCCATAGTCATTGTGCCTGCTTTGGAAGACAAAAGAATGCTTGAATGTTTTTAAGATGTTGGTGAATATTGCTAACTTGTTTCAATGCTTCTTTTACAAAAAGCTGAAGGGTGTGCATAGCACAAGATTGCTGACAAACATCTACAATATAGTTGTCTTTTAATAGTTCTATTCCTTTCACCATGTTCGCTCTATTATCAGTAACAATCATATACACTTTACTATTTAAATTCCATTCATTAATGGTATTAAAAAGTTCTTCACTAATATTTATGCCAGTATGTGGGTAGGGCATGTGACAACACAATAATAATGCTTCTTTAAATTCAAACTCAGGAGTAAGCCATGTTGCAGTAATTCCAATATAACTATGATTACTTTTCACTATCCACAAATCTGGCATTAAATGAACAACAGTAGCAGTATTATTTAATATTTCTTGAAGCTAATTTACTTCTTTAAAATATGCTCCTAAAATTCATTTCTTAATGGTATTTACACACAGTATTTTATACTGTGGTTGAAATTTTAAAAGTAATTGTCAGAAGGATAGATCTTGTAATATATACAGAGGTTGTACATCACATAAAATAAATTCTATCAGAACTTTAGTAAGTTTATTTTGTCATTTATTTGATAGTGGAGGAGAATGAATAATATAATTTGTGATCTGATTTACTTTTACTATTAGCTATAAAATAATAATTATGTATTTTTTAAAAATAATTTATAGATAATTAGTATTATTTTAGCTGATGCTTAATAAATTTGATTAAATTACTTACTTCTTGAAATAAATCAAGATATTCTTTGTAGTTATCTGCAGTAATGTCATACTTATTACTAAGGTGATACATTAAATCCACCTAACTTAGAATAAGGATATGGTCATGTGCGAATATTTTCACATTTTTTAACACAAATTTTACAGTATTTAATTTGATCATTTTTCTTATTAGTTTCAAAAAAACCTTGTATAAGTAGTGTTGGCCCTTTTATTTTTTGTTAGAGTAGGTATAGAGGTTGATGGTTTTATTTTATTAGTCATTTGTTTTTTTTGATTATTATTTAAAAAACCTGTGGTCTGAAAATATTTATCATTAGCTCTGTTATTAGTTTTATTACTTAGTTCATTGCTTATTTCATTAGTTGAGGCAGGACTAAAAACAGAACTTTCTGCTAGTGTCCAGAGAACTTCTTTTATTGAAGGTGTTGGTGATATTAACTGTTCTTAAGAAGACATTTTTTTTAATAGTTGCACAAAGTATAATAGAACCAATTTATATATTGTTTGAGTATGCATTATTTCTTATAATGGTAAGATGCATAGTCTTATTATGTATTAGACATACCAAGACATGAAGTTTAATTAACGTTACTGCTACATATTATCATAATTTCTGGAACACCTGATAAAAATTAGCCAAATGATTTTTCGACCAATTTGACTGTTAGTGATTTCAGCATGATTAGTATATATCGATATATTTTACATGTAAGCTATTTTATATTATTTATATTTAGCGAATGCAGTTTTTCTGAAAAGATAGAAGTTTTTTGATACATCCATATCTGCAAAAGTGGATAAGAACCTGACTAACAGAATATATACTAACACCTAAGTGTTTGGCGATTCTTCGAACTAATAGTCTTTTTAAATTTTTTTCAATTATTTGCCAATGAATATGCTTTGAAAGCACCATATTTCTGTATTCAACTAAAGGTATTCATATATATATTGTCTTGTAAATTTATATTAGCTGATCTTAAATTATGTATATATATAAATTTATTGATTATTATGCCAAAATTACTAACTTAGTCGAATCAGTTGAAAAATCATTTGGCTAATTTTAAATATATCCAGATTATACACTGTATCCAGATTACACGTTATACTGAAGTAGTCAATCATCAAATTAAATCAAACATATGTTTAGTTCTATATAAATTTACAATAATGCAGATTTTTTATATAGTATAAATCATAATATATTTTTTATTAATTGGTTAATTTTGTATTTAGTAAATTATATTAGAAGCAATATCAGCCATTTTTTAGAAAATTTAAATGGCTATTCAGCCTTAATTGTGCAATGAATTAATACCAGAATTGGTAAAAAGAAGCCTTAATGCTTCTTTTATAAAGTTACATTAAAATATTTGCATTTCATATATAGTCATACCAATGTATATAATATACATTTTAAAAAAAATGGATTAGATTTTATATATATTAATCAAAAATAAATTTTTTAATCGAAAATTTTATTATAGTATGTAAAATCTGAAAACGTAACTTTGTTAAAAATGCAGTAAAAAGTAAAATATGTGTTAAATATCCAAAAGTATTTTACTAATCTTTTAATACAAAGACTGTAGCATAGTTTTTTGATCAAAAAATCTATCATTATACAAAAATTAATAAGACTAGATATATGTTAGATGATTGACCACCCTAGCATTATACATATCCAGATTATATACGTATTATATCCAGATATAAATATATATCCAAATATATATATATATTTTTTTTTTGGTATTAAGGTGACCTCTTTGGTCTTTTAACTTTTATTAATCACTTGTCGGTATTGTGGTTCAATGA